TGGATGCTCGTGCTAGTGAGCCAGTCGTATCATTTAAAAATATACCACAGTGACTTGGCGCTGATATGAATCGCACTAGAAAATGTTTGCTGGGATAAATTATTTAATTAGATTTATTAGTTGTAATTCCGACGACGATGATCAAAATGAGCACATGGATAGCAGATTAGTCGATGAAAAAGACCAGAGCAATAAATGAGAAAAAATACCTATATCTGCTTTCTAGTCACTCATAGATGCATCAGTTGCAATTACAGTATTAGTTCCTACTTAGGACAGTTTTTTTTCTTATAATTCAATAAAATATTTAGAGGACAAATCTTTAGCGTTCTTTAGAAAGATATCATCGTGTTATATTTACACATTGCTGGTGGGTTTGCCTGATGGTATGATCTCGAATATGCTAACATTTAGAAATCTATTAGTTGCATGTTTTTCTGAGCATTCTGCATTCTTTTGTTAGGTCATGAGCGGACACTTATGACTAGAGGCCGCATTTTTAGGGAATAAAAAGTGTATTTTAGGCGCTACAGACAGGCAGGTGAAACACTGTTTTAGGCTCTCAAAATCATATTTATAGGCGCAATAAATTTATACAAAAATAAAATAACCCGGAAAAACGACGTCGGTGACTTGTGTCTACGGCAAGAAGAAAAAAAATGATACTGTTTAAGATAGCAGAAAGGTATCAACGATTGAACATAGGCATGCATTTCCTGCGCGATTCGCAGTATGTGGTCTTTTGTTTTATTGTCTAGCATTGTGCGTCAAGTGTCTACCATTCAAGTGACAATTTCCTGGGTCTCTTTTGTTTCGTTATGGCTGGGCAGGGCCATGCAGGAGCAAGTAACCAGGCTACTGATACCCCAAGAAGAGAGCGATGCTAGTTCTAATCGCGTAGGATCGATTTCTCCTCTATTAGTGAACACTTTAACGAACTTCTCTCTACGTTTGGCCCTTCCGAGATGACAAGCGTAATGGTGCGCTGGGCACTCGGGATTATTGCTGTTAATATCGCTAAATACATGTTGCGGAAAAACGCTCAGTTTATAAGAATGCCACTTGCCCTTCACGCGGGCGTGCACCCCAAGATTTTGGGAGTGATGTACAGCAAGGAATTGTCGTGTTTTTACGTCCGCTCCTTGACGTTTACATTGGTGGGCTGACGTCGCATACCATAAGCTCTTCATCAGATTTGTTTTAAATGCTAGCTATATGTTGAAAAGCAGAAGAAAATTGTCTTGCATCCTGATTATATCCTGTCCTTTTAAACGGTACCTCATTGGGAGCGTTTCACGTGACATTACTCTACTTAGCATGTACAATTTGTGTGTTCTGTTGTGTAGCATGAATGAGGAGTACATTTGTTTGGGCTAGCTACTTCATACCGTTTTGAAAGGGAAGCGCTAAGACAAAGGAGAAAGGAAGACAGCGCTCTTTGTCTATGTGTCTTTTTTTTCTTTGTGTTTTTGCACTACCCTTTCAAAATCAGTATAATGACTGAAAGCACAGGAAAAATAATAAAAAACGCAAACTGAATCTCAGCTTGTTATTATTTTTATTTTTGTTTTGAATGGCCTCGATATGCTATTCACTGATCGGCTCTCGTTTAGCGTCCGCCTCGGTGGACCAGTCGTTGTAGGGTGCTCCGCTGCTGACCCGAATGCCGTAGGTTCGATGGGGGCCACGGTGGTCACATCTAGATGGTAGCGAAAAAGCAGATTCCTGTGCACTGTGCAATGTCAGTGCACGTTAAAAAAACGTCAGTTGGTCAACAAGTGCCGAGACCTCCACTACGGCGTCCCTCGTATTCATGTCATGGTTTTTTTCGCGTAAATCCACACATACTGCTACTGCTACTAAATACTACTACTACTACTGCTACTACTACTACTACTACTATTACTACTACTGCCTCATTTCGCTTGCGATCGTCTTTTTGTCGTTCCTGCATCGTGCCTTCGCCAACACTGACAACTCTTAGCTTGTATTTGGTGCGTCGTCTCTGACCGCAGTTTCAGCGGAGCGACGTAGTGTATCGTGGTCAGAATACATGATTCTTTCCAGGCTCTCCTAAAGTACACGTACTGACTGATCCATCCCATAGAAACGGGTATTACATAACAGAAAATGTCGAAACGACACAACATCGATCGCATACGTGCCGAAAGTAGGCTGGGGCACGTCATGCGCGCGTGACCTTACGCATGTTGTTCTCGTTGCACATGCATCGCGTTATTCTCCAGCCCTGACACTGAAGGGAACAGGGAAGGATTGAGGCTCACGACGGTTACGCGGGACGAGATGCAAGGGATTCAAGCTTGCATAATCGCATCATGCCTTGGTGGCTCATTGCGAACCAATTTGAAAAATCACCGTGGTACAAAAACTTTTCATTAGGCACGCAAGAAACTCTAGTGTATAACTACAACTTATTATGTCACCTGAAGAGAGACGCTTAAAAAGCAAATTGCAAACAAAACAAAAGCTGTGTGCACATCATACTTTTTACCCGAAGGCTCTGCAGCAGATGGCTTACAGTGTCAATTAAAACACGCCACCATTGGCACAACACGATTTGTTCCCTTTATAAACCATTTCATTCTGTCATGAAACTACGAAAAAACGAATTAATAGAAATAATATATCTGATAAGATATCCTGAAATCTTAATTACCATTGCGTGAAGAGAGCTGTTTAGGTGCATTTATTTCCGAATGCGAGGTTTACCATAAAATGCTTAACATAGAAGCTTGAACCACTGTTTAATTTGACGCGATGACGGTAATCTTTATCCTATATAGTTCATTCTTCTTATTGGTAACGCTAATATTTTTGAGTAATGGCTTAGGATAAACCTTCAAGTCCTGTTCTGTGTATTCTTTCATGTTTGCCAAACAAAGACATAGGACGAGGGATCATATACGGAACAAGCATATTCAAGCATACGGATAATGTATGCTAAATCCACCGTTGATTGTAAACATGCTGGCGCCAGTCTCAGGCTTGGCTGTATGAAGTATAACAATTTGGCGACCTTCGCCACCACTCAATCAACAGTAGAATTCCATGAGTGGCCCTTCATGGTTTTTCAATTGTTCTCCAGCTACCCGCGGCTGCACAGAAAAACCTGCTCTTCCTTTCCCACCGCAACACCAGGTTTCCTGGGTGGTACTTCCGTTCTTTCACGGCACTGGACAGGTGTCTGTAGAAAGTAGTCACCGCGTCCACGACCATAGACGTAACTTTTATTTTCTTACCCCATCTTTACTTCTCTCTCCTCCTACCCCTGCAGACGCTGAGACGTGCTTGCGTTTAGGGCTGCAGAAATAGCGTCATTTCACTCCTTATGCTCTTCCACTAATCGCTCGCCGATTGTCAGCTTTGTCTTCGTTGAACCTTATAGTGTTCGGTAATATCAGTGTTGCTTTTTTTACATGAATAACGGCGTCACACCACGCCCGAAAACAAAACTTGTGCTTCAATAGCACTTATATATGCACTCGTTTGGAGAATAGGCATTATAGGCACTTATGGGAATTTAGGCACGAACACCCAAAATAGGTATTTATAGGCATTATGAAAACACCATAAAAGCCCTTCTTAACCTATAAATTGTTCATATATAAAGATCCCACGATAAAAACGCAAGGAACAAAATAGGAAATTGCTATAATGCGGTCCCTAGTTATGACCTTCGGGTAACCTTTTGATGTTATTTATAAAATCTGAAACTGCATTGCAGATAACCATCATAAAAGAAGGTCAATTATATGTAACAGAAATTTAATTTAACACTCAAGTAAAAATGCAGGGTGACTTTACGACCTTCGGGTAACCTTTTGATGTTATTTATAAAATCTGAAACTGAATTGCAGATAACCATCATAAAAGAAGGTCAATTATATGTAACAAAAATTTAATTTAACACTCAAGTAAAAATGCAGGGTGACTTTACAAATGACGTGGCATCCCACAGTGTTCATTATTTTACAATGGGGTTCAATGTGTTCCTACTTTTACATGTGAAATGTTTTTGGTTTTTTTATCCCTATGTGACCACATACATCGTTTTTAAGATTTTTTCTTTTTATGTGTTGCTTGTCATTGTTGTTCATTTGTCACTGGAATTCGGCAACTTAAAAATTGCTGTTTTTTGTTGTTTTACATTATTTTATTTGTCATAGTGCGGTTTGGCTCTTGTAGTAAAATAAGATCTTGTAGTAAGATCTGACAGGGTTTCTTTCGTATTCACCTAATACTTCTGTAAAGCGAAGGCCATCTCTTTTTTTTTTCTTCTCTCAGGATCTAGTAAAGGCAGTAAAAAACGTGAGCCATGTCTTCACGCGACATTGCCAAGCACCGCCGTAGTTTTCTTCGCTTGAGGTTGCGTGCTATCCGGTTTCGTTCTCTGCCCAGAAGAAGGTATAAAACAACATCGTGTATATAGTTACGTAACATTACCTAATACAAGACTCTGGGACATTTATGATGTTACACGTTGATGCATTATGAGAGGTTGTGTGTCGAGGTCGTCACGTAATAACAATTTCTAGCATCTTTCGCCCTCGCCACCTCGGAGACGAGTGATGAGGTATCTAAGTCCTTAATGAGAGACTAACAAAAAGACAAACAAAATAAAAAAATATGCCCGAGAAGCATACAGTGCACACTTTATGATTATGTAGAAAAAGATTGTGGCATTTGCTATTAATTGAGTGGATGATTCATGGCTCCATCATGGTCATCTGGGGTACTGACATTGAAAGAATGTTGGTTTTGTGCGTTAAGTGGCTACTTAAACTAACAATAAATGGCTGGTAGTCTTCGCGCTATCCTGTCATCCTTCTTCGTTCTTTCTGCCAGCACAGCAATACGATGTTTGACACTTAATGTAACGCGAAAGTCTAACCTAACAACACAGCATCGAACACACTGCACGCCTATTTAATGAATGGTATACGTGCACGACCACTGGCCGCTTATACACGTTGTTTCACCTGTGGTAGCAGAGGAAAGACAGCAGGAAAAAGAGGCAGCACAGCACTTCGGCACGGCCCACTATACTCGACACCTGCGCAAGGGCAACAGATGAAATCAATCAGCAACTACGTGGAGGATCTCAGAGTGAAAATAATCCAACTGTCGCTTTCAAACTAGGCGTCTATGGTCTTAGTTAGGGTATTATATATCTTTAAATTTTGTTCTTGCGACAAGTGGGAGATTTGAATTGTGAGCCTTGACTCGCACAAAAAATTAATAATTCGTCCTAATCGGCATACACACCATTTCAGCTGGAAAAGGTTTGTATGTTCCGTCCCCAACGGCACTGCAAATTGGCTATGGGATGAATAATTTGTTTCAGCCGGGACAAGACCAAGATTTCTAGATATGTGCCCGCAGCCCCACTTCCAGTTGGTGAGAGAGGTTGCCTGCCGTAAATAAATTTAATAAGAGTGATTGATTTGTGGGGTTTAACGTCCCAAAACCACCATATGATTATGAGAGACGCCGTAGTGGAGGGCTCCGGAAATTTTGACCACCTGGGGTTCTTTAACGTGCACCCAAATCTGAGCACACGGGCCTACGACATTTCCGCCTCCATCGGAAATGCAGCCGCCGCAGCCGGGATTTGAACCCGCGACCTGCGGGTCAGCAGCCGAGTACCTTAGCCACTATACCACCGCGGCGGGGCTTTAATAAGAGTGAAACAAAATAATGGATGGAGAACAAAGGTACTCACCAAAAGCGACTATTGGTTCTATGTATATAGTAGAGACATAATTGAGCATTTAGTGAAAATTAGAATGTCGCACTACAAACCACGGGGCTTGACAGATAGTTTGACATATGCGATGGAGCCTCATATGTTTGTAATGGGTCATGTTAAATTGATCTGCGAAACTACGGGTTAGGTATTCTGTAATGCACTTGTACCAAAATGTTTCAGTACGCTTCTGCTGCGTAGATACTGGAGTCGCTTTTTATGAGTTGTGTTTCTTCATGATTTGTGATATTTTTTCTGCCTTGTTCCTGTTGAGTTATGGCAGAACGCCGCTGCTAGCGCTGAGAGATGGCGCCACGTAAAATTTTCGACCAACCTTGCTATCGTGTCTCGTGACTGAATATTATGCCACATCGGATGCCATCAGCCTCAAGTCACGCAATGCAATGTAGCCCGTTCGATAAATTCAATCATAAAAAGTTTGCACTTGTGCCTAAGATGAGGTGGCCAATTACTGATCGTTTTATTTAAAATAATGCTTTGCAGAGTTGGCAATTGAACCAAAGATAAAGGCAGAATCAATTTGCTTGAAATGAACGCACACTTTAAATGATAGATGTTTAAGTATTTATTTTCTCATGAACCTCGTCGAGACAGTTAATGTTGGCTGTGAACATCGGCAGCAGTACTTCTTTATAATCCTGTGGTAATGATGCTTCTACAACAGCCCAATTTTCACGTTTTTCACCTGTTAGGGTAACGAAACAGAGAACAGTGAATATTCTACAACATAGCATGATTGATGTATGACTTACTGACACTGCTTTGGCCGCCGCAAATACCTAGTATTACTTTGTGTTTGTGTTATTTGCGGCCAATGCTGTCAGTAAGCAAGTACCAACTAGGCCAACAATCAGTATTGTTTCAATTGACGTAAGAACTGTATTAAGCACTTCAAATGTGCTATATTGGAAACGGATCAGAGAAGGTGTAAATGATACGAATCGATTGAAGGCAAACAACAGGCCTACATCCAATATTCTTTTTTCTCTCATCTGATGCTTACCTGCTATGTTCTCTAAAAATAGTGGTAGTACTATAAATAAACAAATAAATAAATAGAAACACTCACGGCCTCGGTGTGCACCGGATGAGCAGCGAACAGCATTGCGGCCAGGCACGCATGGAGGGCAGCTATCCTCAGTACATGGCGTGCGACGACAGCCACCAGAGCAGAGCATGCGCAGTGCAAGGCAACGTTGACCACATGGTAACCACGCACCTGCCACCCATTGGCGTAATAAATGGCCCTGTGAGGAAAGACACACAAAGAGGCGCACATTAGAAAATTTTCAGCGTAACGCGTCCCAGTTACACATTTAACCAACTGTTTCTGATGCATCGAAGTATGCACTTTTTTACGGATGCAGTTCCATCTGCAATGAGGGTTTTTTGTTGTCGATGCGGCGTTCTGCTGTAGGTTGGTTCATGGCATCAATTACTGTTGATTCCTCGGAAAATGGAGCGCCACTCAGCTAATGTGATCCCTATTTATAAGTGTTATTAGTGGCACGTGCATCGAGGGACGATCTTTTTCTTTTTCAAGCACTTCCTTTCGGGCACATACTTCTGGTTTTGAAATATTCAGATAAAAGGAGTGCGCTAAAAAACACACTGCAACGAAATCTATTGTTCTAGTTCAACATGCAGTTACATTTTATGCACATCACAAAATTCATTAGTGTATTCATAGTGACTACACTTATTACTGTCCGGATAATTAATCAAACATACTTGCACGTCTCACCAAACAAAGAACTTCATTTGATCCTGAAGATCTTCCGCGTGAACACTAGCCGCTAGCCGCGTCCAAGTAGGGGCTGAAACAGTATGATGTTCCACCCTTTCTTGGACCCACTGCATTGCCTGTAGTTGCGTAAGCAGCGAGGAGTTGCGGAGGGAGTGAACGGCTTTTTTTTTTTTTTTACACGAAAGTATTTTAGGCGGAGGCCCACCAAGACTTCAGGGACGCATTTCCGTCACGAAAGTGACCTCTAAAAAAAATACACAAGATCAGAAAACAAATTAAAAAGAAAAAAATGCCACCCGCACCTTCCGACGGACAGAAGGCGAGTAAATGCGTCGCAGAGTTGAAGGTATCACGTGAATGTAGCGTAATGGGCTATGGTTTTCAAATGCCTAATTGTTATTTCGTCTTAATTATTCCTATTTATTGGATGACGGAGAAGCGTTGCCTTCAATGTCAAGCGAAAGCCAATTAAAGACGCCCTTGACTGAATTCCGAACGCACGGTCCGGTACCTACATAAAACAGGGTGGCCAGTGAACGGTTGTGCAACATAAACAGTCGTTTTTTTTTTTTTACTAGCAGATGCTGGTTGCGTTGGGCTTGCCAGGCGAGAGAGGCGAAGGGGAGCGACAGTTGCGCGGGTGTCTTCGTGGGCCGGCCTGAGACGCCAGCATGCAGAACAACATGCGAGACTCGAGCATCAGCAGTGGAGGTGTGGACGGCGCCACCATCGACACGAAGCACGACATCGTGCAACTCAGAAATGCTTCATATTTAAAAAGTTTCGTTAACAGGAGTCCAGCCCATGACCTCATGGTAGGTAACAACAACTGCCGGACACCCCATCTACTGGGTCACGGTGATAGAACTTGAAGGCTTTAAAAATACGCATTTAGTATCTACCAATGCCCTCACACAGCGTTCTCTGTGAAGTGCTATAATGTATTATGACCATGACATCCGCGAATAATTTATTCAATGCATTGCTTCTCAGCGTCTGTTCCGTTCGCGCATTTCGGATAGGAGCCATGTAATTTTGTCAACGCCTTAACAGATCTTCAGGTGGCAACCTTACCCTAAGCATCGGCGTCGTCCATAGCACCTATCCATACGAGAAATAGCTATGCGCGACGCCCACCGGCATCGCCTGGCTTTAGCTCCACGTTTCCCACGTTGGCTCGCCCCGCGAATAATCGCGGCCGGCCAAAGAGGGAACTCCAGCGCTTGTGTCTATGGGAGCTGCCATAGGGTTTTCTGATAATAACTAGAGATGGGTAACTATGATGGGTAGTACATGAATTTGCCCAGTCTTAGTACTTGCGGGCAGCGAATGGCACGTGTGGCTTCGTTTATTGCTGCATTTCAGTATTGTTGGAAAGAAAAGAACGAACCGTCATGAACTTCGTCACCCGATCCGAAATGATAAGCCTAAAGAAACAAGGTAGTAAAGCGCAACCACTGATTTTTGCTTCGTGAGAAAATACTTTCAAAACAGGAACACACAAAGAGCCAGAAGTACGAAACTTAGACAAATACGTGTACTGCCCATCATTCCAATGCTCGCTGAAGCACCGTGCTTTGCAGCTCCCATAGACACTAGCTCCAGAGTTCCCTCTAGCGCATATTTAGGAACCTCCCTGTCTTCTCCTTTTCGTTGCCTTCTTCCTTCCTTCTTACGGAATCTGCAATGCATTGCAACGAAGCGACAATCGGAACTATTGGTATGACATAGATTTGCCTAGTTTTCGTACTTTAAGTTCATTCTGGCTTCCGTGGCTTGAGGCTGCTTTGTCACCAAACACAAATTGGCAAATGTTCGGCAGTTACGCTTCACTATCTTTCGAGCTTATCACTTCAAACCGGGTCATAAAATCAAAATTGTTTGTTCTATTTTTGAAACAAACCTAAAAACAGCATCAAACGAAGCCACAAGGACGTTCTTCAGCCACAAGCACGAATGCTAAGTAAATCCATGTCATACCAATAATTCTCGTAATCGCTGAATGGCCGCAGCGCCAGAATCTCCTACTGTTCATTTGAGGAAACTCTATGGCCGATGGGAAGACACGACGCGCGTCGTGTTTTTCCCTGACCGGACACTGGCATCCAATAAATACTACTTGCTGTGACTGAGCGATAACCCAAATTCGTCGTTCAGTTAGTCACGCTCTTCTGGATGTTGTTGTTGTTGACACCTCTTTATCCACACTTTCTGCCCTTGCAGGGCTAAGGGGAATGTAGCTGGAGAAATGGGATTTCACAAGGCTTTCTCTGGTTGCGCTCGCACCGTTAACTACTACAGCTTGCAGAAGCATATATAACCTCAATGGAATACTCAAGGATTTATTATTCAATGAGCGACATAAGTCGTTGGAATGGAGATGTATGGCTAAGCGGACATGGACATATCCATGTTGAGCGGTGCTACACATGTGAAACACCAATATACATTGCGCAAACTCTCTTACATCAATGCACAGCAAGCATTCAACTACTTCTCTTAGGAAACGTTTTACTTTCGTGTTTCA